GGACGTGCACGTGGCTACGTTCAAGAAAGCCATGAAAACATTGGACAAGGTTAACATGCTTTTGGACAAGTACGCGGACAGTTCCAGCTCAACTGATTAATTCGAATATACTTAAATATGGTATACTCAGGACATTATCTGACTGAATTCATTGTTAACTTATGAGACCAAATTAATGCTACAGTTTCGATAAATCTTATTATGGTTATATTTAAATATGTCAGTAAAACTCGAAATACTTCTTTGTACGCCAGATACTTTGACTTGTTTTTTTGTTTTATAAGATATCAATTTTGATTTGTGGAACAAAGTGTGTATGGGTTAGATAGAGTCAGGTTCGTAGACGCAATGCCTGATCGGGTGGTTAGTTAAACTCATTTGCATATTTTGTTGACTCATTATCATAAATAGTGAGTTAGTGAGCTTACACGGAACATCTCTAATAAGTTACTATTTCGAGAATGTTTTTCTCTAATATTTTCCCTTAATAATATTTTCTCCTTCTACATTAGTCAAGTACATACTACGTATATATTATGTATATCTAATCAACRCTTATAGCCCACTGTAATCAACACTTCTACCCTCCTTCCGACGAATCACCTTCATAAGTCTTGCAACATGGATGCACGAATGATTTCAAATTGCAAGAAAGAACAAAAATTCACTGACTTGCTTTYTTCTCTTTTCTTAGTGCTAGAAATTGCATTGCCGGTGTAAAATGTATTTTGTTTCTTTTCTTATTTTGATAATTAAAACTATTTTTTTGGAAATATTTGTGCCAAATGTCTGAAGACTCATTCCGCCCTTAAAACATGTAGCTTGTTATACCATTCTCGTACCCCGGCAAAGCTAGCTTCTCAGTTTTCTAACAAAAAAGTCGATGACGGCACATAAAAAACACTATAGTTTGACAGCCCTCAAAAATCAACCACACCCTATATCCATTGTTTGATGTAGGTTCTTAAATTCGGCGTAAAACCCAGATTCTTAAAGCCAGGAGCGGAATGGATATCAACAGGGGAGAACGGGGCTGAATTATAAACCCGAGATAGGCTTTTAATTACTTTTCCTTATACTTGCCCGAGAGAACGCAAGGTATGAAAACAATACTATTTTGATTTCTATCGGAACAATAGAGTGCAAACACGGATGTATCGTAAACCAGTTCAAACGCACGGGCTCGGTTTTGCATTAGAATTTAAGACCTCGCCCTAGCGTTTGAACCTTTATTTATTGTTTCATTGTTTTTAAGCAGTGTCATTTTGCAGATATCTGTTGCATGAAYATTATATAGTACGATATTAGTAATACTGAAAAGGCTATATACAAAAATGAATTGCTCAACTAAACCAATGATTTTTTTAAGAATCACAAGACTATGTATTAGGGCAATTTTTTCAAAGCCTAGTATATTATGAAAAATTAACATTAAACTAACATTCTTTGTTTTTTGTTTCAAAACAAAAAACAAAAAACTTATTCAAATTAATAGACCTGAATGTCCAACTAAATGATATTTAAAACAAGTCAAGTGTAATATAACATATGTACCGTACCTTCTTGTTGATTCAAACTCCCATCTCTAATGTTTATCGTACCCGTAACAAGTAGCAAACACAAAACCATAGCCGTAGCTGACACCAAAACCACCAAAAACAAGATAAACTTGGCAATCCCCGACAGTCYTGATGCCTGTTTTTCAGCCGGTTCCGCAATGCCGAAAGATTGCATTGAGTTCTTTCTCAAAGTATTTCTGTTTTCTTCTAAAACTTTACCAGCTGCAATGTGAACCGGATCTTTAAAGAAGTCWTCAMMAAATGTGGGATTCTTGATAATCCCTTCTTCGTGGCCAAACGAGCTCATGGTTAAACAATTATCCAAACTGAGAGAAGTCCATTTCCTTCGCGAAAGAGCCGTTGTCGTCTTTTCACATGGTTGCACTTTGACAAAAAATAYTCTTGGTGAACTATTTTAAAATTGTTTAATTGACCTAGTTCTTGCATTGTCCTTAAATATAATAACACCCATAAATGTAACGGATGTTTGCGCCGTCACTCTGGTCAGTCGAACGTGATAGTACAAGCCAAGAGAATATGTTCATATTCTCTTGTACAAGCTCCATATCCCAATYTTTCTAAATCGACTTTTTAAGCCTATGTAATATAGAAGATTGAGGAAATATCCTTAAAAAAAGTTTTTTGAGCTATTTTTAAGAAATTATTTAAGCCAATACTCCAATAATGATGTTTTAATTTAGAAATATACGAGTAAATATAACTGGTTGGAATGCAACAGATAAGTAGTGCGATAAAGGCCGGTTTAGACGATACGATTTTCGCCTACAACTATCGCATACAACACGCTCGCGTCTGTCGTAGGCGAGTTGTAGGCTTGATTTACACGCTACGACTCGAGTTGTAGGATGGCGCAAGCGTGTTGTATACGATAGTTGTAGGCGAAAATCGCACCGTCTAAAMCGGCCTTAATAGTCGCTTGCTTTACTAACCTACTGATTTTATTACTAATCCTGTTGCATATATCGTTTTATTCAGCACATTTTTATCTACGGTGTACTGGATTTTCATTTATTCTAAAGTGAATAAATCAGCGGTGATGCCCMATTTTCCCGCCATTAATTTAGCCTCAGGCATCCCTCAGGCAGCTGCTCACAGGCATCCATCACTAACGTGCGTGCGCCTCTCGGATGAGAAGGAAGCAGAAAGAACAAATTGGAGGTTTGTGCTCATATAACTCTTTTAAAAACCCTTAAMTAGTATTTCTATAAACCCAGTGAAGGACTTGAAAGCTTTTTACGGATTTAAGGGCATTTTTTAAAGGTTTTTTGGGAAGAAATATCAATGCTAAGACTTTAAAAGGCTCCCCTGTCGAGTCTTCTTTGAATTATAATTTTTGAAATGATTTTTTTTATTCATGGCTTCTTTCCCCGAAATTGAAGAACGAAAATAAGGATTTTGATGTTTTCCATCATTCAAGACAGTTGGAACTTTTGAAGCCGTAGTTACTAGTTAACCCCCCTAGTTGTCAGGTTGAATTTTTTACGGTCGTTGGTTGAAATCCTTCCTATCCCCACTAATGACGTTCAGTCCATGAATGTTAACAATACTTTATTTTACTGCATTTATGTTCGTTTACATTTTGATGTTATTTCATAGTCATCAGAAATATAAAACTAGAACCTAAAGACCTTCTATTTGGTTATTATTTCCTATAAATATACCAATCAAATTATGTATTAAAATATTCGCTCAGCAAATTTATTTGATTACTTCAAAATTCTAAAACCCTAAA